TGTGACTATCAGAAGATTTTGGAAATGTCCCCAGCACACCAATCCTTTTAGAATAGCTAAAGCTTCATTTATTGAAGTTCCTTGTCACATGAACAAAGTTCATGTTGGTGTGCTGGTGACATTTCTACAATTCTGTGATGGGGAACTAGTCCCTCAGCTTTCCCATTAAGCTTTGTCCACTGTAGGAATCATCACTGGTTAATAAGGGTGCGTCCTGAGAGTGCCACACATTCATTCATTTCCCAAAAATATATAACTACATAGCTGTTTGATACTGCTGTACATAGTTACTTGAGCTGACATATAATCTCAGAAGACGACCCCTGACCCTCAAGCTGAAAAGTCAGACTCAAAGCCAAGTATAAAAGGAGGATGGTCATTACAATTGTTCCGGCTTAGCTATTAAAGATCATAAATCTGAATATAAACATTCTTGCCAGAGACAAATCACCTCTGGTTCTCTAGAAGGGCTTTAGAATACAAATCAGTATCTGACACATGAAAGAGTATAAAGGGGGGCACAGACGGATCACATTTTGGCAGATTCAGCAGGAAAATGACCAAAATGTGATCTGTGTATGGGTAGCTTTAGGCTGGGCACACACCTTACAACCATCGCAAGACTTTTGTCATGCGATGGTTGTAAGGTACTTAAAAAAAACGTACGATCTGCGTATCTTGGACAGGCAGATCGTACTTGCGATGATCGCAAGCCGCGCCCCCCTGAGGGGCGGGCTTCCGATGACCGCAATGCCGAACAGGCAGTGTGCGCTTGCGCACACCGGCCCGTCCGGCTTTTATCTTACGAACATGCTACACACCCGCCGAACATCGTACGATGCGTAAGTTTAGAGTCGTGCGACCTTACAGTAGTAGAGGACGCACGGCTTCCACACACCTTACGATAATCGTACGATCGCGGGATTTCCCGCAATTATCGTACGATTATCGCAAGGTGTGTGGGGACCTTTAGACTCATCCATCAGTCAGCTAATTGCGATTGGGTGGCCCTGCCAATCTTTCCAATTGAGTTTCGTCGATGGAGCCGGGTGAAAAATTTGTTGGGTGAATAGTGACCGCAGCCTATCAGTTGCAGCCACTGTTCAGATTTTCTGGCAGCTGCGGGCTCCGGCTGTCAGAATACACT